ACGATTCGGAGCCCCATCATTAATACGGCATGACCGCGACCCACGCTTCATGAGCGAGGTGTTCCAAGCGTTCGCAGAGATGATGCAGTCAAGATCAAGAGCGACTTTGAGCTATAGGCCACAGGCTAATGGACAGCAGGAACGCTCGGTGAAGTCAGTGATGGGGTCCGTACGGGTGTACGCGGAAGACCCTCTACAGCAAGATTGGGACGAAATCGCGGAGAAGCTAGTATTTGCTATTAATACTTCTCAAGACACTACGAGGAAGGAAACGCCGTTTTACCTCGTTCATGGTTGGGATGCGCAGTCGACGTTGCGGGCAATGTCGTCATCACTCAAACGAGGACTCGGCAAGCAGTCTGACGCACTGGCGTGGCGGCGTGAGATCAATCGACAACATGAGGTCGCCCTCACTATGGCCAAAGATTATCAGGCTGTAGAAAAGGAGCGAAGGGCAAAAAAGCATAATGATGCTCTGAGTCGACTGGAAAAAGCTGCTGTACCCCAACCAAGTGGAAACGAACACTCGGCGGACGCCCTAGAAGCTTCAGGAGAGATGGAAGATCCTGCAAGAGCTCCACCGAGATCTCTTTTTGAGATTGGGAGCCGGGCGTGGTTGTACATGGAACGCGTCAAACCGGGCTTGACAAAGAAATTAGCTCACCGATGGCATGGACCTTTTCGGATCAAACGCAAAGGTGGAAGAGTTTGCGTACGAGCTGGAAGTGCCTGACCGAAGTGGGTATCGCTTCTACCCAGTAGTGCATGTGTCGAGACTCAAGGCTGTCAACGAGTTCAACAGTCGACCGAACACTCGGTTGGTACTAGACGCGACTAATGAAGGAAGACTCGATTTCGATGAGGAGCTGTTGCCTGAAGACAGCTGGGAACCAGATCAAGTTGCCGGTGAATATGAAGTCGAGGCCATCCTCGACGACAGAACACCACTGACGACGAGCACGGAGCGTGCTGTACGCGAGTTCAAAGTCAAGTGGGTGGGCTATGAAGATACAACTTGGGAACCATCATCAAAATTGTCTTGTGGAGGTCTGCTGTACGACTATTTGCGAGCCAAGAAGCGCGAGAATCGGCTGCAGATGGCGCAAGTGGCGGACGAAGACTAGCGTGACTGGATCACGTGTGAACTGTCCACAGGTCGATGCAGCCTGTGGTAACAGACGAAAAACGTTACTGCAACAACAAATTGTATATGCATTTGAAGAACAACATGAACATGATTACGCTGTGGAAGTGGATTAAGAATAAGAAAACATGAATGCCGACCGGGGAGCGACCACTGAAAGCGAAGTCACGCGGGATACCTCAACAGTTAGCGGAGATGCTGGAGAACGTCGTGGAACGTGCGGCGAGGACATCATCGAAACCAATAGCAGTCTCAAGGCGACGTTGAGTGTGTACATCGCCGTGGAGAGGAGGCGCAACGCTGAGCTGCACTTGATGACGAGCCATTGCAGTCAAGTACGGAATTATCGAGGTCATCATGTGATCGACCGATGCCTCAGTACTTTCAGCCAGCATGGCGCGCAGCGAATCTTCGGTGAGTGGTGGTGTACCACCAGCAGGCGCAGGAGGAGCAGCAGGAGCCATCCCCGCGGATTCAGCGACGATAGGGAGTGCTGCAGGAGCTACCGCAGGGAGAGTCCGGGGCAGCAGGCGCCGGAGGACCGGTTGATGACGCTGCTGTCGGAGGAAGTGCAGCAGACTGAGGGGCGTTCGAACTCTCGGTCTTGCCCTCCTGAGAACAAGTCGAGTAATGCAAGGTGATGAGCAAGGTACCGATGATTCAAGAGAAGGATAGGCTGACGTACCTCCAGCTGTTCACGTTCGCGACGTCTACGAGGATTGAGACGCTGAAAAGCGTCGGACACGGCTCGATTCAGACGCTTGGACATACGGTGACGAGATGGTGAATTGAAGAATGAAGAAATGTCACAACGGGCACCAGTACCGTGGCTTCCATTGCGACAGGGGCAGTTGTGGTGTAGTGATTTCTCCGTAGTTGCGGATTATCACCCGTCGACAAAGACGTGACACCGCCCAAGATGTTCAAGCAACGAACCCTCGGTCATGTAATGTACGGAGACGCCAAGGTGCAAGGGACTCGACGGCGTCACTCCCGAGCTTTCAACGAGTATTGGATACGGCCATATGTCACTGAATCCAGGCTGTCCTTATTATTAATAATGGACTGGCCGGATTCGCATTCAGCGGACCATCTACGGTACGAGCCCTCAGTGGCGGTTGGGATGAGTTCGCGGAAGACTCAGCGACCCTTCGAAGGTGCGTTCACCGTCTGGGACAGGGCGCGGACCGTTAAAGATGCTCATGCGACGGTGCAGACGACGCTTGGCATGCAAGAAGATCCATAACGGATCATTGTTCACTTGATATTTGTATACTTGATTAGGACTTCTTATTAGGAATAGACCCGAAAGGGTAAGCTTAAATACAGAACAGAATTTCCACTCAAGCACACAGAGCGACGTCCGGCTTCAAGGTAAGCGTCAGGTCAAGCTTGTTTGAGTGTGTTATGCCTGTCGGTGAACTCGAAGCTCTGTAGCGAGGGTTCATCCGGCAAGGCCAAGAGACTTTGTGTATTGGCCGATTATTATCGGGAGGTTTTACGTGACGGCTTATTGTTGCCTATTTGCACGACTGGGAGTGCTTGAATTGCCTCCCTTTTATTTCTTCCAGCCGAGTGTTGAACACTCGGTGATCTCGTAAAAGGCTTACCCGTGCCTGGTACCCTTCCGCTGTTGGGACCACGAGGATTCAAAACACCTGCTAGCTTTGCTCGTGCTAGTAGCGTGTTCTTATTTTACTGGTTGGCCTATATAAGTAGTTTACAAGGTCCAGTTTGTCCCGGTGCAAGGGCAGAACTGGGGTCTTCAGGTCCGCCCGAACGATCGTTTACTGTCCTAGTAGACGTATTGTTGTGGGAACATCCTAACTACATCTGTAGCTAGCGTTCACGTGGGAATTCCAACACCACAATCCTTCCCCTGGACCTAGTGACAACCATTACCTGGACTGTCCTTTTCCCGGATCCAACCACCACCACCTCATCTAGTCGGTTCAACGTAACGAGATCCTGATGCTCGGCCTCTCTCTCGACTTCGACACGGCATTGATTCCGTAAAGCGGCACTGGCCAAGCTATCTGCACTGGCATTCCAATCTCGCTTGACATGCACCAACTCGTGATTCATCCAACCACGCAGGTGGACCATCACTTTCTGCCGTAACAGTGTTAGGGCCGGGGCCTTACAGTCAATCTCACCTCGCACCTGTCTGATCACCAAGTTTGAATCCCCACAAATCACCAGCCTTTTTGGATCCTGTCCCTTTAGTAGATCCTAACCCAGCAGGAGCCCGTTATACTCTGCCTCATTGACGGTGAGGCCCTCCGCATTGGTGGATCTGGCCCGTACAACTTCCCATCCGGGCAGTCTCCACAGTATTGCGCTGTATGCTCCTCCTCCGCGTCGTACGTGAGCGGATCCATCGAAGCTCAGGACGTACAGATCCTCATCCACTCGTACTGTCGGGATCGGGATCTGGATCCGGCGTTTGGGCTCTTTCTTAGGAGCGATCCTAGTCAGCGCTTCATCCATCTTAGCTCGAGGTGTGATGCTCGCGGCCAAGACTCCCAGGATCTCGTTTTCCCCTTTCGAACATTTCACAATCTCCAGTGTCCAAGGCGAGAGTTAAGCTGCCCACTGTCCCAAACGTCCTTATAACCCGGCCGACTTGAACAGCCAAGCTACGCCACAGAACAGTCGAAGCGTCGCTCCAAAAATAGACTCCTGAGCGAAGTTAAGTATTGGAGCATCTCAGAATATCCACACGGAAATCTATTTTTGGCTGATCCGGATTTTTGCTTAGATATTCCTTACTCCAACTCCGGAAACTACAGTTCTCTAATATCGTTAAATTGCAGAGCTCTAAAATTTCGCATGGTCGACCACGGTGGCCGCGCGGCTTTCAGCTCCAAGGCTGAGGTTACTATTGCGTCAGTCGCTGGAGACCTACGATACTCAGATCTGTCGCGACTGTTCGTTGTCTGCGGACGCGACCGCAAAGTGGATGAGCTGCGGGCGCTCTTTTCAACGTGCGGGGCAATCAAACACCTGCACTTGGCGCTGGATCGGAGTAAAAAGTCGCGGGTACGGTGGCGTTTAATTTGAGATATCATAGTAGCGGAGCTGTCTCTGCGCTCGTGTCACCGTTCTGACGTGTTTATTACAGGGTTTCGCCTTCCTTCAATACGAAGACCCAGCGAACGCAGCCGCCGCAATTGACAAGTTGGACCACATGAAGCTGGAAGATGGGCACATCCTTAAGGTGGGCATATGTAACTATCGCAAAGACCCTCGGAGGTACTGACATTGTTGCTGCTTATTGCAGGTGACAGTGGCCAAGGAGCGGCCAGTGGGTGGTAACGGCAAATTGAAGCGCGACCAGCAAGCGCGACAAGATCTGGACAATAAGACAGAGGGGGTGCTTGGAGAGGACGATGGAGCTATCGATGCACGACTTCCTGGGAAGAGACAGCGGTCGAGTCCGCCCGTTGCCGCTCTTCCACTTGATTCGAGTCGAGTAACACCAGCTTTTCTACTGGATAATCGCCGACTGGAAGGCTTTAAACCCAATACTGCGAAAATGGAGCTGGGTGCGGCAATTAATTGTCAAATACCATCGCCGACTGTACCAGCGTGCAAGGACGAAACGATGGAGCTTGATTTGGACGTGAAGCAAGTGGTGCGGGCTATGCTTCTTACAGTGGAGCAAATTGAAATGCAGAACAAACACCGCAGTGAGCTCTTTGCTGCATACAAACAGGTGGAAGAGCGAAGCAAACAGAGGCGCTGTGGGAATTTGAGGGTTGTGGTCCCGGCATCAAAAGAAGAGGCTGAAGAAGAGAACTCGACCGAATCACTGGCTTCTAGTATTCAGTCCGTGTCGCTGGTGTACACTCCGATGACGACTCGAGGATCTCCATTTGATGGGCTGCAGACACCGAGAGTGACAGCAAGAGAAGATATTGTGATGCCACCGCCCCGCTCTAAACATCATCTGCGTAGGCGACGTCAGAGTTTGGAGGGCAGCGGCTCCGGCACAGAAGATGGGTCTGACGCCAGTGGCATTCGCCGCAAACGAAGCAACACCACAAACTCGCCTCCACCAACGATTAAAGCCCAGGTCCGAGCCCATTCTCAGCTGTTGTCCCCGCCGAGAACGTTTTTTGCTCAAAATGACATTAGTCTGCCACCAGACAATCTGAAAGTCGAGATAATATCGAAAAAGCTTTGTAAGCGACAGTCACCGGACAATGCGATAGAGGAACCATATCGACTATTGAAGCAGCAGGTAACGCAGCAGAGACGAGAACACGATGATGGGAAAGTAGATCGACGACCTGCTCGACCCAGTATTGCGGATGTTGGACACGACCGGGATAAAATGCTCGAGATCAAATCGGAACCAGCTGAGTCGACGCGTGGCAAGTTGTTTTTCACGTCGACGTACAAGGTGCAGCGCCGAAAAAAAAAAACGTATATGCCTGTTAAGAGTCCTCACTCTTTTTTTTTTACAGTTCACGGAGCAGGAACTGGAAGCGATGTTTGCGGTGTACGGTGATTTTGAATCAGCGAAGCTTGTTAAGAGTTTCGGACGCGTCAAAACCATGGCATACATTCGTTATTCAAAGGTAATGTAACTACTGCCAAGAAGGGATGTGCATCTGATGTGCTTTACGAGTGTGTAGCCTTGCACTGCAGCATTTGTCGTCAAGTCATTTCGAGAGGAATCGTCACAGGGTGACGAAGACCCAGAACGACCTGAGTTTATGAATGTACGATAAGCCCATGTATGAGAGATGTGTCAGTAGCTAACTAGATGACGTTTTGTGTTACTACCAGCTATCGTTTGCTCACGATACCCGTGTGCATTTGCAACACCAAACAAAACTGGCACAATGCCACGTGGACACAACTTTAGGTTGTTCTTCTGATTTATTCTCCAGTCTTACTCCAACCCACAACACAACCTCATCCACATTCTCCGGCGGAAAAGAACGTCTCTGGGTATTACTGCTGTACGGTCGACTTTTGGCTACACATATGCTTTCGTCAGCTGTGTCGTCCTTGTCGGGGATGGAATTTATGGATATTAAGGTCGTCAAGAGTACGGGTGAGGCTCAAGGAGTGGCGTTTGTGAAGTTTGACAGCGAAACGAATGCTACACAGGCAGCACTTCGACTCCACCAAATGGAGTTACCTCTCGGTTCAGGGAAGTTTTTACAGGCGATTGTGATTCTGGCACCGAGTCTGTTTACCACCACTCATGGCAGCAGTTCAAACGGCCCCAACGAGTCCATGCGACTGAATCGCACAGCAGACGAACATGTTGTAACGGGATCTTCCGAGGATGTTGATTTGCGGGCTGTTGAGGCTCGTTTCGCGCGTCTGATGCGAAGCACAGAGCATCCCTACACCAGAGAGGGGTCGTATGTCCACCACTACTCTTCCATGCCTTCGCCCAGAGGAGCAGCACCGAGTGACCAGTTATTGCCGATGGCATCGGACGTATATCAACCGACTCTTTCGAATGAATTCCCTAGTTCTCTGGGAGCGCACCCAGGCGTAGAGTATTATCCGATGCACCTCTTGATGTATCCGCCACCTCCACCATTTCAACCGTATGCAAACTTTGGGAGGCAAGGCAACTACCATCAACTACCGCACCATCAAGGGTTTGGAGGAAACCTGTCTGGGTGGATGGAAGCTGGGCCCTATTATCAAGGTGGAGTACCACAATACTCGCTTTCTTGCGCACCGGAGCAAGAGATGATGTTTTCTGCGCCTGCAAATGGCTCGAATGAGGCGAGAGTCAGTGATTCGTTTGCCGCTCCACCCAAGCCACATTCTTCTCGTTCGTCGTCTGAGCAAATTGATATCGATGATGGCAACAGCAGCTGCAGTAGCCAGACTTCTTTTTCTATTCATGTATCAACCAGGGAGCCATTGGAGCTCGTGACGCTGGTTAGTGCGCTGCAGGACTACCCAGGGGTAGTGTCGTTTGCGAAGGATGATGCTGTTGGGCCGGGCTTAAGCGGCTATATGATGGAGTTCAGAAACGAAGCGCTGGCTCATGAGGCATTGCACAAACTGGATGGATCATTGTGCGGAGGACAGAAGCTTCGAGCTGTGAAGGCAACGTCTTCAAGACATCGAGGGGGGGGAGGTGGAAGCAAAGCTCGCACTGGCTCGGGACGTCGAAAACGACAACGTGTTGACCCACGAAGCCGGAAATGACGTAGAGCTCAATGTGGCCTTTTGGTTGATATCGAACGATAAGTGTGTATCGCCGACATTGGTGGCAAATGGCATGCAATGGGTAGAAAAACTAACGGAAATTCCCGAATACCCGAATCATTCGGGTCGTTCCCTCATAGTAACAGAGTAACATTACTGAAATTAAGTACGTTTGGGTTCAGTCACGCTGGTTTTTTTTTTCTCTACACCTTCTAAAAACGGCCCAGCCTGTCATCGTATCGTTTATCATGGTAGTGCTACGAGTAGTAGTGCGTAGTACTGTTGTTCATCCGTGATTCATCCCGAGTCGTCCCGAGTCGACAGGGGTCCTTCCGCACACCCTATTGCAGGACAGAGCAATGTAGCCACTTCAATATCACATCGAAATTTTCCCGCCACTTCAATTTCAAATTTCCCGCCTCTACGATCTTGGCATCTCAAGCAGATCTCGTTGGCAGCTCGAAGAGGTGCTTCTCCTGCTGCTGGCAGCCTTGGTTGCCCCCTTGGCCTTGGCTGTGACTTGTGGCCGGCGTCGCGGGGGTCAATTTGGTCCATTATGGGACGAGTTTACGATTGTCGAAGGAACGGAAACGAAAAAGCGTAAGGACGCCAAGAGCGATCACAAAAACGCAACAGGCTACAGCAGGAGGTGACAGATTTTCTGGATGAAGAGCTCGGATGGATTGATGATGATCGTGGTATTTATTATCACTCGCCACCTTTTAAATGGTGGGGGTGGGATGGAAATGAGAAGTATCCGTTACTTGCACCTATCGCGCTACGAATTTTCACAGTTCCGACGTCTTCAGCGGCGTCAGAGCGATCGTGGAGTATTTTCAAGTTTATTCACTCATCCCGTAGAAATCGGCTAAGCAATAGCAGGGTTTTTAAGCTGGCGTTCATTTACTCAAACCACGGGGCCAAGGACGCGAACGCACCCATCGTGATCAATCCAGTCAACCTTGTTTGAACTTCAGAGAGCAGCTCATCGAGCAGCACAGAGAGCGACTTTGCTAACAGCGCTGAGTTTTTGGAGAGCATTTGCGAACTGGAACGATTGGATGCAGACCCTGCATCTCAAGAAGGATATGAGTGGTTTGACGGAACGCACTGGGCAGACGAAGATTTTCTACCTGTGGATGAAGAAATCGTAACAGAGTACATGATTTCTGTGTAGTGCGAGATCATTGCTCGAACTAAAGCGTGGCGTGATCGACGTCGAAAGGCTCCTGCGCTATGCAGGAAGCTTGGTTTTGCGTTCTAGCGATAGGATATTTTGGGTAATTTAAACACCATTTATTTCAGTCCACTTATAAATACTATCACACGGATGAATATTCATCCGTGACGAATCACGGATGAACAACAGTAGTACGTACAGATTAATTCGAGATTTTGTGCCCACACCAATAGTAGGTATCGATTCGATACAATTTTCAAATGAGAAGGTTTTATTTTTCTACCAATTTGTATAAAATTCACAGGTTTCACTCCAAGTATAGGTTTGGCATGGGTATAAACTTATAGAACCTTGGTGTACGAAAGAAAATAGTGCTTACTTTGCAAATGATTGGAGATGTTTGTTTTTTTAGAAAATTTACTTTTTTCAGTTTTTCTTACACGGCTAGGCGTTGTGCTAGAATATCACTATTATCGTATTTGTAGATCTTAATCTATAAAGAGGTCTGTAGACAAAGCAGGCCCAAAGCGGCATTATCCGTCCACCTCTAGCCCTTGTTCGGTAAAAGCTGCAGTGGTTTCTGTTGAAATACGTATTGGGGACCAGGCACAACGAAGTGTTGGGACACAAGATGAGAATCAGTTGGGCCAGGTCATTGTATGAGAACGGGGTTGAATCCGTTAGTGTTGGTAGGAGCTCTGGGAGAGCAGCGCAAGCACTTAAATAATTCAGTCTCCATTTTACCTTCCAAGAGTCAAAGCGGTCAGAAGTGTGTTCACGGAACGGAGTTCCAATAGGGTTTTGAGCCCAATGACGAAGCCGCTGAAATACTCGAGTGAAGGAGTGCCGAAAAACTGGAACGGCAAGGATTGGCAGACGTATAAGTGGGCGCTGATGAATGTCTTCAAAGAGCAAGATCTCAAGGTCATCGCGGTCGGTGATTTGACCAAGGCGATGCTTTCTACCGCGAGTGCGGAGAAGAAAGAGGAATGTGAGAAGAAGCAGTTGAAGATCATGCGCTTAGTTGGTACTTCAGTACCGGCAGACGTGCTGCACCAGATACGCGACAAGGAGACCGGATCGGAAATGTGGGGTGAGCTGTGTAGTCTGTATGAAGGCAAGCAGAACGAAGCGATCAAGGCATATACGATTCGTCGCGTAGAGAACGAGCTTTGGAATACGAAGCTTACCCCTGGAAGTGATGCTAATCTTCACCTCTGTAAGATGTTCATCCTCAAGACCGAGCTGGCCGACTTGAATCATACCGTTGCAGACACCACAATGGTGGATATGCTACTGAAGAATTTGCCTGATCAAGTTGAGTTCGAACATTTGAAATCTTCTATCTACTATGGAGCGGATCCGAGTGTGTACTCACCTAAGAAGGTGAGGGAGCTGATTCTCGCAGCAGCAGCTCGGCAGAGAGAGCTCCGAGGAAAGCGTAGTGACAAGAAGTATAATCAGAGAGGAGGAAGTGGAAAAGCATTCGAGAGAAAAGGGAGTGCTCCGGAGGACAAAGTTGGTGGATTCAAGAGTGCCCGGAAGTGTTATTCTTGCGGCAGTGAAGACCATCTGCGGGTGAATTGTCCTGATAAGTCAAAGGTGCAGGAGAATGGTGGAAGCGCTGAGCAGAAGCGCAAGTCACGGAGTAACTACACCGTGCGACATGAGATAACTATACCTGTGCAAATGGACCGTGGACAGGATAAGGGTGTTGTAGCAGGACTTGGGCAGTTACGTGAAGTCCAAAAAAGCCCTCAAGGACGCGGTGAAGCACATGGACAGGATGAATTCGTGCATGAAGATGAAGCTCGAGAAGCTGAAAATTATGTTGAAGATGCACGTAATCATGGAGTCGTGAGTGACGGCGAAACAGTGAGTGACGAAGACCCAGTAAGTGATCCTGAGGCAGATAGTGGTGAAGCACATCTGATAGACAGCGATCAAGAGCCTGGACGGCTAAATGGCAAGGGGTGGTATTTGGATACGGCTTCCAACTCGCACGTCACGGGAAATTTCGCTGAGTTTGTGTCATACACGGCGGACTCCGATAATTTGCAGAATATCCGAGGTGTTACGCCAACCATTGCCTCAAGAATTGCAGGAATGGGAGCAGTGGCGTTGATGACAGAGGTAGACGGAGAACAAGTGGTAACATATATCGATGGAGTGCTGTACATTCCTGACGCAGAGTATGGCTTGTTTTCTCCGGGACTTGCCTTTGAGCAAGGTTTTGCTATCGCGTTTAACAGTGAAACCAGAAGCTTTGACATACTGAGAGATGGAAGGACTGTAGCTGTTGCGACGGCGCAGGATGCTATTTGGGGATTTCAGGTAGCAGCTCCAACTCAGAGAGCAAGAGTGATCTCAGAAGCAGCAGCAGTATGCAACCACACCATCGCTCAAGGTGTTGGTTCGCTGAAGCTTTGGCATGAAAGATTATGTCATACATGCCCACAGTATCTGAAGACCATGGTGGACAAAGAGCTAGTGCACGGAATGATGCTGATACAGCGACAGCAGGAAACGTGCGATGCGTGCCACATTGGGAAGCAGAAGAAGAGATCACACCGCAAGAAGCTGGATCGGGGACTGAAGAGACCGAACCAAGTAGTCTATGCAGACCTTCTGATTCCGGGCAGGAACAATTCTACTCGGTATGAAGCCGTCCTGGTGATTATGGATGGTTATTCTCGCTTTGTCACGGTGTACCTGCTGAAGAGTAAAGACAGCAAGGTGGTGAACAAGCACATGCGGGAATATGTCCTGTGGGCGGAGCGGCAGGCAGGTCGGAGCACCAGCGGAGCTACCCACAAAGTACTGCAAGTCTGGAGTGACAAAGGCAGTGAGTTCTTCAATGGCGAAATCGATGCATGGTATCGATCGAAGGGGATTAAGCACGTGAAAGTCGGACCGAAGAGTTCGCAGCGCAACCTGTGTGAGCGTACACATCAGTCATTGGAAGACATGACTCGGTCTACGATGGCACACTCGGGGTTGCCGAGGAGCCTGTGGCCGGAGGGGAGGCCATGAGAAACGCAGTTTATGTGAAGAACCGCGTGTTTAACAAGGGAACTGGAGGAATTCCCTACGAGTTGTTGTTTGGCATCAAGCCGGACGTGCACCACATTCGGAAGTTTGGAGCACTAGCTTATGTCCATGTACCAGTAACTCCTGGACGCAAGAAACTTAGCGATCATGCGAAGATCGGTTTTGTGTTGGGTTATGCTGAAGATGTAGTTGGATGCAGAGTTTACTTCCCTGACGAGCACACGGCGAAGTTTGTATCTGATTTGCGAGTTGCAGAAGACGTCATGTACCGTGATCGACATGCAACTGAACTGAAAGATGATGATCTTTCTTCTCTTCATTTCACGCAAAGAGAAGATGAAAACCAAACTGATTTGAGCGAGCTGAGCACTGTGCCGTACTCGGAGCTCGAGGGAGGCAAGTGTAGTGATATGCAGACGCAGGATGGACGTGAAGTGTATTCAGCAGTGCATGTTCAAGTGCACCATGCCGATGAAAATGGTGGTGGTTCAGGCAGTGATGGCCTGGACGGTGTGCGCCATGCCGATGAAAATGGCGGTGGTTCAGGCAGTGATGGCCTGGACGGTGATAGTCAACTTGCTGAGACCGGTCAACTCGATGACAATGCTGTGGAAGATGACAGACATGTCGATGTTGATGAGCAAGGTGATGTTATTGCTGAGAGTACACGAGATGATGAAGATCAATCACGTGACCTCGATGAAGACATTAATGTCGATGTTGGTGAAATACCTGAGGACGAAAACAATCAGGAAACGAATGATCCTAT